TCTTTCTTCCCGGCTCAAGGTGCCCAGTTCTTTCCGCCTCTCCTCCTTCTATAGGGCTTGGGTTTCCAGCCCCCTGATCCTCCTCCTTGCCTTCCTCGGAAACCTGCTCCCAGGGGTCAAGGTCCTTCTTCAAGGGCCGTTTCCAGAACTGGACACAGGGCGGGAGAGGAGGCCTTAACCGGTCTGTGATGCAGAAGATGATGAAGATGATGATCAAGGCAACCGGCTCTCTCTCTCCCCCCCCCAACTCCAAGACCTCCTCCATTGGCCCTGGAAACACACCCTTCCTTTTTCGGCCGGGGAGTGGAGAAACAAAGAAAGGCGGCAAAACCCCTTCCTCACCAGAGAACTTGGGGGGGGGGGATACCATTTCTGCATTTTGTTTCCTTGCATTCCTTCTTCCAGCGCTATGAGTTTGCTCATAGCGGGAAAGGTTCCCGTAGAGATGAGAGAAACTGACTGGGTCTTCTAGCCTGAAGCAGCCCGTGGCTTCCTTGAGGGAGTCGGTCCGTCTCACGCCAGCACTTCCCTCTTTTCCTGCTGCCCTCCCCCTTTCCCTGGCACAATGGAGGGTCTTTTCCAGAGAATCCAGCCTTCTCGTGAGGTATCCAAAGCGGGACCACCTCAAGCCCCAGCGTTTTGGCCTCCAGAGAGAGTGAGTTCAGGCTAAATACAGATCCTCACCCTTGCTTTTCGGCGTTCTGTGTCAGGACCTCACCGCCTTTCCTCCTTTCTCTTCCTTCTCCTGGTTCACCACCACCCCCAGTGTGACTGTCTTGCCCGCTGAAGACCTGCAGATTTTGAATTTTCAAAGATACCCAAAACACTTGGGGTCCTTGGCTTACGGCAGTGGCACCCAACCTTGAGTAAGTCTTGGACTCCAACTCCCAGAAGCCTTCTTCACTGCCCGCCGTGCTTGGCCAGGATTTCTGGGAACTGTAGTCCAAGAACGCCGGTGTCCCCCCCAAGGTTGGGAACCCCTGGTGTGCAGGATCATCCCCCGATAGGGCACCCTCTGGATGTACCGGTTCTGCAACACCCCTGGGTCTCCAAAGAGGCCCATTCTGCCTGGGGATGATATATGTTGTAGTCAAAGACGTTTAGAGTGTATGTGGCACTTATTTTGTCCGAGAACACTTTTTTTGGGATGTATGTGTGTGTTATTCTTATACCTGCGCAACTTTTCCTTCTGTTCTGAAACCTAGGATGGTGATTGACCCAGCTCCTGATCGTGTGTGAACTCTTAAAACTGTACCCAAAGGGATTTAAACAACGCAATTATGTCCCGGGGAAACAACATGATAAAGAAACACAGCTCGAATTTACCAGGCCTCTCTCTTTGGTTTTCCCTTTTTTTTTCTTTGTAATTTTTTCCTCCTCCTCCTCCTCCCGAAAAAGTACTTAAGAGGTGATTAACACAGGAGCAAAGAACCGGTGCACAGCTTAGTCATTAACAGAAGGAAAAGAAAAAAAAGGAAAATAAAAGCATACACTCACTTGTGGTGCCTTATCTGTTGTATTGAAAACCTCTTGGCGGGGTCATATTCAAGCATTCCTGGAAAGGCAGAAAGAAAGAAAGAAAAAGGAGGGGGAGGTGAGCCAGGGAACTGAGTCACAGGAGCTGGTGGGGAAAGGGGCGCTGTCGACGGTGCCCCCTTGCAGATCTGGAGGGTTCACAAGTGGGGCAGGACGGCAGGCGTGGGCATCCGCCAACCAGGATGGAACGGCAGGGCCCAGAGAGAGGGCGCCCAGATGAGGAAAGCCAGCCAGCCAGCCCCCCCTTGGCTGGGCTGTTCTACTATGAGACTTTGCTCGTAATTTCGCTTTCTCCACCTTCGGCACCCAACAGGCCAAAGGATCCTGGCGCGTGGGGAGCACACAGGAGAAAATGGCAGAGGGACCCTGGCAAAGGGACAGGCGCTCCCAGGGACAATGGGAAGCCCAACCCCAGCACTCCGTGCATGCTCAGGGGACCCCCTTTTCTTTACTCTCTAGTCTCTATATTTATTGCACCCAGCCCTGCTGGGCAGATCACGAGGTTTCAGCAAAACAGGAAAGCAACCACCTTATAAAATACAGGGTTGAGGCAGTCTTTAGTGGTGGTCTACATAGTAGAATTTAAAAACATAATCCATGGCAAGCTAGAGAGGGGAAAAAATCTGCTTCCAAGACTGAAAATCTCTGTACTTGGGGTGCCATGGAGAAACAAGCAGAAAGGGATGGGTTCAGGATTTGACTTTTTTTTTCTTCTGTCGGATCTGCTTTGAGTTGGATTCCTGACTTGAGCAGGGGGTTGGATAAGAGATTCCCCTTTGCAACTCTATGATTCTAGCATTCTATGACTGAGGATTCAAGGGCCGGTAAGTCTGGGAACATCTGGAAATTTGCCTGGGTGGGAGTAGAGGAGATAGGAATTCCCCAGTCTTCCCTCTTCCTGTTCCTCTGCATCC